TATCAATATTTTTGTTGCATGCGTTCTACTCAATTGTGACCACCAAATATTGTCACATGCATTTAATTAATATATCCTAATTAATTCATTTTTTAAATTATAAATCACAATTAGATGAATTAAGTACCTCAAGCTGTGTGATTAATTGTTTGGGTGTTGGGGCTGAGACGATAATTCTACGTGCAGCCTGAGACACAAATCCTTCATCAACGGCCTTATCAATAAAAGACAACAAGCTATTATAATAACCCTCCACATTCAAAAGCCCTACCTGCACAATTTTGTTAAAAAATCAAAATAAATAAATAAATAAAAATACAAATAAAATTCAATTAATAGCTAATAATTAATTATATATAGGGCCATTAATTAGTGCCTATAATTAACAATAATCAAGCGTCAAAAAGGCTAATAATGTCATTAGGGACCACAAGAAGCCCACCCTTTTTGACTGTCGGGTAATTACTAATTAATCCCATATTAACATTTATTCCTTTCTAATCAATTAATTAATTTATTTATGTTTTTATTTATTTATTTATTTATTTATTTGGTACAAGAAAGGAGACAAAGCCTAGAGCCCGAGTATATCAACACCCGACGAAGATGAGACACTCCGACAATATTATGTTGTAGCCATAACCCCGCCCCGGAAGAGGGCGTTCCAACACATGCAGACCACCTGGCCCTTTGGCCAATTTATTTATTTTTTTTAATTGTTTTGTGAGGAATTTTGGGCACGATTATTTATTAAAATATTTATGGAAATGAAAGGGACGCACGAGGACTATGAGTTTCTCTACATTTTATAATAATTTTATAGGCACGCGCTCGTATCAAATTCTTGATTATTAGTCAATAAAATCAATGTTTAGGGCATAATTAGCTTCTCAATTTGTTTACAAAAAGGAAGAAAGAGGAACGTGCATGGAGTCAAAAATAATTTCGAGGGTGTTCAAGAAAAAACATAAATTAATAAGGGGTTAATGATAAATTAATGAAAATGAATGAGGAAATGCTACGGTCCCGTTACGGTACCATTCTGTCGGGTGTTTTAATCGTTGAATCATCTATCTTATTTAACTACATGTGGATCCAACGATTAAAATACCCGATGAAATGGTACAATAATGAGACCATAGCATTTCCCGAATGAATGTCTAAAAGTATAGTTAAATTACTCGAGTATCAGTACTCTATGATTGGCTCATAATTAAAAGGACAAAAAAAAAAATGTTTAGATCAATACAATTATGATTGAATTGTATTTACTTTTTTATTATATATATATATATATATTTAAATGATAAGTGTTTTTTTGGAATAAACTTCAATTATAAGTTAATTTGTAATTATCCCTATATAAAATATGTGACACAAATATTGCAAGGAGCGAGTTAAACTCACTGGTTTTCTATGGATTCCAAGCTGAGCCCATGTAATAACTTCAAGCAACTCTTCAAGCGTGCCATAGCCACCTACAAATTGACAAAATAAATGAAATTGTTGTTTCAAATCTTAATTAGCATATAACCCTAGTGATTTGATTTCTTGTTTTCTAACTAATATAATGTAGCAAATAATTTTAGGGTTTTTATTTTCATTACGAAAATTGCTTATAATTATACGATGTTTATATATATTTACCAGGAAGGGCTATGAAGGCGTCGGCTTGTCGGGCCATCTCAGCCTTCCTTTGATGCATATCGGATACTGCGTGAACTTGTCCGATAGTTTTTCCAGTTATCTGCAGTGACAATATATATGACAATATATATATATACTCATCTTATGATCAATATCATGAAAAAATCACAAATGTCGACTATATTATATAATATAAAATCATACGATTGATTCGTGTCCCACTCGAGTGTTGATGTCCGACTCGTGTTAGTGTTCACGGAAATGGTTTCGATCGAGGATATATAGGAAAAGAAAAATCACTCTAAGCTAGGGCTACACAAAATTATAATGTGTGTTTGAGGCGGTGAGGGAACTGTTAGGTAGGTCGACTCGAAAGCAAAAAATAACTTGAAATCCTACAATATTGTTATGCTTTGTAAATATTTAAATTAATTATGAAAATACAAATTTCTTGTTTAAAATGGATGTGCACGAACGATCAAATTTATGTACATAAATATATGATTATATATATGATAGATATAAAAAGAATTTTTTTTTTTTTTTGGTACAGGGACTTTCCAGTTTCCGGATCCACAGGGGACCCGACTAATCCGGAATCGAGCCGAGTAGGACCACAAGGGCGGCAAAGCTCTCATTCAAGAGTTTTAACACTGCTGCATTCTCAGGGCTCGAACTCGAGACCACTGGTTAAGCTGGAAGAGACCCAAGTCATCTCATCTAAGCGCTCTTGGATGATATAAAAAGAAAATTAACTATAATTATGAAAACATTTGAGTCTCACGTGTGCTTGAGATTCCACCCAAAAAAATTGTCTCCTCTTATTAAAAAGTACAAACAAGACACGTTTTGTTTATCAAAGATAATCATGCTTTTCATTAATTGAGACAGCAAGATACAATTTGATTATCAAAGATAATCATGCTTTTCATTAATTAGAAAATATATAAAATATCCAACAATAAAATGTTAATTTTCATCAAATATTAATTTTGAATAAAATAGTGGCACCAAGGCTCCAATAAAATGATATTTTTTCTAACAATTAAATGTTACCAAATACTAGTGTTGTTAAATTAAATGAGCCTTGCCCGGCTCGAGCTCGGCTCGTTAAGGCTCGGTTCGGCTCGAGTTTGAAGCATTGACGAGCCGAGCTCGAGCTCATTTAAAGCTCGTTTGGTTAACGAGCCAAGCTCGAGCTCGATTTTTGGCTCGTTTACTTAACGAGCCGAACTCGGCTCGGCTCGACTCGTTAAGAGCTCCAGCTCGAGCTCAAACACCTTAAGCTCGAGCTCGGGTCGGTTCGTTTACAGCCCTACCAAATACACACATATATGTATATATACATTATACATACCCTATTAGGTTAAATTTCATACATTATAAAAATAAAATCTACATAACTAAATTTAATTTTTTTCTTAAGCATTTTTTAATATTCCTGGGTTGTAGTCTATTCTAGCCATAGGCTTGCTCCGCCCCTGATTTGGACTTTTTTTAATTTGAACTTCACGTTGATTTTCATTTCAAATAATCATAAAAACAAATAAATAAATAAATAAAGTTCATAGAATGATATTGCTCATACCTCTTGATGCATGAGTGATCTTGGAATTATCCTGCAATTATAGTGACATAAAATTAATTTTAACACATGAACATTTGATTGAGAAAAAAGAGGGATAATTCAACTTGTGTAATATCCAAAGAGGGTTTATATATGGATGTGTGTGAATCTACGTTGGTTGAGAATATAAATCCTAAGTAGAATCGAATTTGTGTAAATTCCAATTCAACTCGTGTAATGTCCAACCGGGATTTATGAATGTGTGTGAATGTGTGTTGGTCGATGATAATAAACCCTAAGCAGAATCGAACTTATGTAAATTCTAGTTCAACTTGTATAATGTTCAAACGAGATTTATGGATATGTGTGAATCTACATTGGTCGACGCTAGTAAATCCCATGTAGAATCGAACTTGTGTATAGTCTAATTCGACTTGTGTAATGTCCAAACGAGATTTATATATGAATGTGTATGAATGTCTGGTCGAGCTAAAAAAAAAAAAAAAAGCCTAGAAAGAGAGTGTACCCAAGAACATGGCGCCCACCATCATGAACTGCTTGAGAAACAAGGCCCATTAGCCCAATGCTTCCACCTCCATACACCAAATCAATCCTTCTCTCAACCTAAAAATTAAAAATTTTAAAAAAAAATTAATAAAATTAAAATGATCATACATATATGCATGAATTACAATGTAGATTAATTTACCTTTTCATGTTGACATAAAATAAATTAATTTAACAAAAATGGCTAGGCCCTTTATTTCATTATCATAATAAATCCAAATCCAATGCAACACACAATTTTTTTTTTTTAAGAAAAAATAAGAAATAAAAAAATAATAATAATAAAGATGTATATATATAAGAAATGGTTAATTAATACTATATATTTATACAAATAATTAGTAATTACCAGTTCATTTCCCAGCTGAACAGCAGCTTGTTGATAGGTGGGCTTATTACCTGAACTGCTCCCACAAAAAACACAAATTCTTTTGAACTTTGAATTCTTCTGATCCTCCATTAATGGCACTAACTTATTACTATTCTTCTCCTTTTTCTTCACTTCACTGTTTTCAGGCACAACCATTTTGTACAATTAATGAACAATTAATGGACCCTAGGAATATTATTAGTGACAAGAACTATATAATTTATAATGTCTTCAAGCTTTTTTTCTTTTGATTTTTTTTTTAAATAAAAGTAAAAATTATTCTTTTTTTTTTTTTGGGGTAAATAAACCCGGGCATTCAGGAGCCATTTTCTCTTTAATCAATCAATATTTAATGTCATTCTTTTGACTCTTAACACTGTTTAATTATACTCCTAATTGAAAACATCGGTTTTGCGATAAAGTCAACAATAGGTTTCATAGTGGAGCCAACTTTCTATATATAACAAATAAACCTATCATATTCTCTGATTACTTAAATAACACTAATATAATTTTACTAATATGATATGTTTATTTCTTGTATATAGAAGGTTGACTCCACTATGAAGCCAACTGTTGGCTTCATATAGTTAAACCGTTGAAAACATAGTATAAAGTTTGTTTGTCTACTTACTAGTTAATTAGCCATTAGAATAATAACCCTTTAATTGAAAAATAAAGTATGTTTGTCTAGTCAAAAAAATAAATAAATAAATAAATAAATTAATTAATATGATTTTTCGCCCTCACTAGTGGAAAAAGATTGGATTTTTTAGAGCTTGTGTGATTGTCATGATAAAAAGTTCATAAGATGTGAAATAATAGTTAATTAATTAGTTTTTTTTTTAAATAAATTTTAGATGTAATAAGAAAAAAGAAAAGTGTGCAAGAAAAATAGAGTAAGAAATCGACAAAATTTAAAAAATGGTCCACTATGTCAGCCATTTTTCGAAAAAGGTCCATCATCTAGGGCGTCATCGAGATTGTCCACTAATTTGTCAATTTAATTAAAATTAGTACAATAACTAACATAGTGTACTAAAAGTGATCATTTTTTTTAGTTGTCATATTTAGTACACTATGTTGACTTTTGTTCGAGTTTTGATTAAAATGACAATTTAGTGGACCATTCTTGAAGACGCCCTATATGAGGTAAAAATGTGGGAAAGACAATTAATGTATTTTTCATTATCTCTAAACTTTATATTTATACAAAAAGGAAGGAAATATGTTTTAATTTTTTTTCTTTTATCTCTAGAAATCCATTTACCATCAATAGGGAAATTTTAGTCCTTTCTCATAATAATTTTCCATACAATACATCCAAATACTCATTATTCGGTTTATTTAATTTGCATATTGGTACTTAATTTCTTATCTTGAGATTATAATTTACCTTTCACTGTAACTTGTGGTGTTACAAACAAAAATTGTACTTCATCATGACGGTGACTGACAAGTTACTACTGTAAGATTATATACATTTTTTTATTTTTATTTTTTAATTTCAGTTAGGTATGCTGATAGTGTATGACATTAACTATAATTAATGAAAATGGATTTGAAACAAAAATAGCAATATATATTTTTAAATATACATTTAATGTAAATAAATACGCATTTAAATATTTTGGTCCTTTGGATATGTATAACCTATAATGTCTATTAATTTAGGAATTGTAAATTTCAAATTATTCGATTTAAAAAAAAAAAAAAAAAGAAAGAAAGAAAGGTTTTTACACATAAATTTCACTGCTTAAAATATTATCTATTTAAAAATATTAATGAGTAACAATTCAAAAATATTAATAACGACTCCATCAGTCAATTACAGTAACTTTGATTGGTTGAATAAACAATTCGGTTATGAGAACGTCAATCAAAATATCATTTTTGCTTCTAACTGAACTTTCAAATGATTTTATTAAAGTAAATTAATACAAATGTCCTAGTTATAAAAATTAATTTAATTTAATGATGTCACGGCATATCTGATTGAGGCCTCTCCAATTGCAACCTTAATATATTTTTTTTTTTTCTTATGAACATTAATTGCATCTGAATTAAATCTTGATTATTTAAATGCAATATCGACTGCAAATTCACGTAATGGATGATATAAATGATGCTTAAGTATAAAAGTTAATTATTTTAAAATTAATGCGATGTATAAAATCATTGGGTCGGGATTTTGGGACGTTAATACCATTGTGAGTCAACAATCAGAATGAGAAAAACGTGAATCCAGACATGGCCAAATTTTGGGACGGAATTGGGCCCGGCCCAGTGGGTCTCTAGGTTCAAAATAATCGTAATTAATTGGTCTCTACCTAGCTACGGACCGGACCGGGTACACGACCCGACAGACCAGGCCCAACCCAAATCCAAGATCCTTCAAGAAAAAATAGAAAAAAAACTATCGTTGATTTCTCAGGTCGACCTAACTCGAGCCGACCTTGGCTCGACTGTCTGGTCATATTTTACATACATATGACCCTGAACTGGCCCAATTTGAATCAAGGCACGAGCCATACACGTTGATCACGAGTCTGATCGGGACGGGTTCGTGCTGGTGCCGAGTCATGTCTAGATGTGAGTCTTGCCCCTTTAATTTCACTCAATGTTATTACCAGACCTATTTTCTCTGTATAAGTTTCATCACAAAACCAATTGGTATAAAAGATGTGGGACAACTCACAAGTGGTATTATATTCTAATAGGTCGGGGTAACGGGTACGTCATCGTCAGGATCCATGTAGGTTGTCCCATGTACGTGAACTGCACCATAACATGGTGAGCCTTGATGTACCTTAGTGATGTTCCATTTTAAAACTAATTAGCAGAGCCGGTCCTACATATTTTGGGGCCCTGGGCCAAACATAAAAATAATGCCCCAAATAACTTTGTTATAATATATATATAAATTTCAGAAAAAAAAAAAGTTTATGAAATCGAGACGAACTAGAAAACCCAATCTACTAACAGTGAAAAACCATGTTTTAGTTTTATTTTTTCTTATCAAAAACCATGTCTTAAACTCACAACTGTCTAAAAAATCTTTAATGTCTTTAGTGCTTTTTTTTTTGCTTCATAATATAAAGTAATTAAACAACCATCATAATTATCACAAATTTTGTTCTACAAATTGAATTAAAAGTGACATACCTTAAATTAAGAATGATATAACTAAGCGGTAAGTCAATTCAATATGTCAAAATACAATTGTATTTACATTTAAATTACAATTGTATTTTACATTTACATTACATACAATTGTATTTTACATTTACATTACAATTGAAAGTAGATTAAATTAAAATTAAAATCCACCTCTACATTCTTTTATTTCTTAATATTTTTGAAGGCGACCATATATGTTGGTAATTAAAGTAAGAATATTATATAAAAACAGAGAATGAGCATAAGAAAAATAACAAATTAATTATCACTAGAATTATAATAAACTACTAGTACAGAGTCCGTGCGATGCACGGGGTGCACAATTTTAAGGTCATTTATCCATTCTTATAATCATATAAATGAATAAAAAAAAAATGTACGGGATATATATAGTAAGTGACTTGTAATAGGCCAAAATGTGAACACGGTGATGCACGGGGTGCACAATTTTAAGGTCATTTATTAGCGCATACCCCGTGCGTTGTACGTGATACATATAATAAATCAATTATTTCTATAGGACTTGTATGTCTAGACAAAAAATAATAGGCTTGGATCATCCATATTTCACATCTTTTAATAAGTGGTGTTTATTTAAGCCAAAAAATTAACATGTTAAATAATATATAATTCCGCTAACACGTCATACTAATATTTATTTAATTTTAGAATACATATTTATTCATTGATATAGGAAAAAATAAAAATTTTATTAATTATTGTTCACCATA